AAAAAAAAAGCGGCCACTCAGCCAACACGACACAACTGCTCCTCGCACTCAATTACACATGCAAAAAAAAGGGGGAGCAGGGCTCCAAGCAACAATTAAAAGAAGGGAGAAACAGCTTCACAAAGAATCCACGGGCGCGTGTCACATGCCCAAGGGCGGCAGTCAGCAAGCACCTGACACCACCAGTGACACCGTCATCAAAATCATAACAGGCACGTGCACCCACACAGGGGTGACGCTGCTGTCTGAGTTCTTCGTGTCTTTGACCTCCTCAGCCACAGGGTTGCTGTTTGCTTTGCTGATTGTGTCTACTGCTGCACTGGATGAAGAAGGCATTGAAGTGGCGGGCGATTGCACGGAATCATTTTCTTTACCTGCACTGTGAATATTAGAGCCCGGAATAAGATCCGAATTGGAATGATCCTCAGCAGCACTGGCAGCTTCGGTATTGTGCTCTGAGGGTGGGGAAGCATCAGAACCCGGCCCCCCACCGTTAGTACTTGTGAAGGTACCGCTGACTTCACTCGCCGAATTACCTTGGCCATTGTTGGTATCCGCGTGCTTCTTCGCCTCTTCGTTCTTTTCTTCCTGTGTTTTCTCATGTGTGCTGCCACCACCACCACTAGGAGTATGACTCGTGTTCTGTGGAGCAGTTTGTTGACCCTTATTGCCATCAATTGCTGGGTCGCTGTTCGTGGCTCCTCCAGTTGCCTTTACAACCGCCGCCTGCTTTGGTGGCTGGAGACTCGTTCCCTGCAGACGGCCTCCACTCTGATCTTCACCCGATGGGTTCAGGCTCTTTCCAGGCGTTCTGGCGTCACAAAGCTCAACACCGCCGTTTGTGGCACCGGTCTCACCTTTGCTCCCGCCAACATGTTGTTTCCCATCTTCAGCGGAACCGGAGCGGCCACCTGGTACCCCACGACTTCCTGTCGTCTCCGGCAGAGATTCAGTATACAAAGACCCACACGGCACTTTCACACCAGTTTTACCGTCCGCACAATGAGAATTGTTGTCATCGGTGCTCTTCGGGGAAGGAAGTTGGCCATCTATGGGACCACGCTCCGCAACACTTTGCAATTCATCGGAAGTCGGGCAAGGGCTTGTCGTACCCTCTGGACATGAAGAAACTGCACCAGGACTCAGGGCGCCTTTGCAACTCTCGGTCGGTTTTCCGTCGCAAGACTCAGGAACATCGGGTGTATTGCAGCTTAGAGGCTTGCCCTCTTTTGTACAAGTCTCAGTGGCCACCATCTGAGCATTTTGATTGGCAGCCGTGCACTCCCCATTGACTATAGCCATTCCAGCCTCACAAGAATTAGCAGCCGGTGCAGACGCAGCTTCCTTTGCAGCCATTCGTGTGTGGCCATCAGCATTTAGTACATCTTCACGCCCCTCCTCATCAGATGCACTACACCCGTGGGCACACGCCACATACACAACGCACACAAACAGCCAGAACGATACCTTCTTCATCGTATTGTTGCTCTGCACAAATAAACAAATAACAGCAGGACGTCAGAAGAACACCAGCACGGCATATACAACAACAACAACAACAACAACAACAACA